AGCAAATATGAAAGGTAAAAACAACCCAAAAGACACCTAATTTTATCTTTTTAAGGTACTAAAACACAACCTGTTTATCCCAAGTCTAGGCATTGTTTTCAGGTGACATTTAATAAAGTTTATATAATAACAAAATACCAATTCCCTTTTTACAGGGGCAAAAACAAGGGTTAATAGAGCTTACGGTCAAGATTTTAAATCAAAGGTTTCCCAATTTTTTAAACGATTTCTTTTTTTCGTGAAAGGTTCCAACATAAACCAAAAAATGAAATTTCAAAATTTTATTTTCTTTTAAAAAATTTAATTGAAGTTAATTTTATTTAAAGGCCTGGGAAAAGGGTTTAAAAACTTGGATGCTGTAAAAAATGTTGTTTGCACAAAGAATGAAACAATCTTTTTGTTAAAACTAAAACAAATTTATAGCCAATAAAAGCAAACTTTTTGCCAACTACAATAACTTTGACCTACCTTTTCATGGTCATATCCTCTTCTGCATTGACTGTTGACCAGGCTATGCAAAAATAATATAAATCTCCTTTTTGGTATTGATGGTTACCATAAAGTTAACTCTGTATACACACTGCTTGAGTAATAACGATATGCGTATTAATTTCATATTTATGATTTTGATAGAATTCATGCAAAAAAACGAATTAGCAGATGTCGATATAAACCGCAGGTTTTTTGAAAACGTCCAATATAGTTTCATTTGTATAGTTGAACGGACAGACAACGGCATGCAAAATGCAAAATTAATATTCCCCCCGATGTCAACGGCGGTATATAAAAGCTACCACAAGAGTGGGATTAGAGTAGATTTGTGCAAATTTATGAAAAAAAGTTACAAAAGAAGAGCTAGGCTAAAAAAAGGGAGTGGAGCACCCACACCAAAAAACCGTTTTTCCCTTAATACCGAAAGGCCATTAATCCTTTTGGACCCCGCCTGGTCGAGGGGGTTTGAGCATGACTTTTAATCCCCACCTCCTCGAGTTTGATCCGGGGGATCTTTTTAATTTTCGCGGAGCAAGGATCTTTATTTTTGTAACTCTCCGAACCGGTTTGAAACACACGCCTATTACGAAACTGTTGGGAAAAAGGTTAAAATGAAACAAAAAACAAAAAAAAAAATACTGCCATTTTTCCCCCGGAATGAACTTAAAACAATTCTGCAACTCCAAGCACTTCCCAACTGTAAAAAAATACATAAAAGATTTTCATTAGCAATCAAATGGAAATACATAAATCTCTGGTAGGGTGGGTTTTTAAAAGAACTGGATGCGACGGACACAAGCATACTCGATCCTGGAAAGCCTAACGTCAGAAGTATTTAATATAAAAAGACTTAAACGAACTAAATTTTCATGAATTTTCAAAGCAGAATTTGAGGAGGGGATTAATGGGCCTTATGCCCCCTTTTAACTTCCCATTTTCAATTGGTAGTTAATTTTTTTCAATTTCAGTCCTTATACAGCGTGACTTGCTTTGAAAAAAATAACCCCATAACGTCTCGTCGCGTGTAATATAAAATTACGAACTTCGAATTTCTTTCAATTTCTTAGTTAAATCTGTTTCTGGTTCTATATAAAAATTATCAATTTTTACCCGTACAGACTGACGCGTAATTTCCAAGTTACAGGTCAATGTACATTTTAACAATAAGCTACACCGAGACAACTCGACAAATGTTTCAATATTCACCATTTTGTTGATAATAACCACGAAATCTTTTCGTCTAGATAGATTTTTACCCAACAAATGAAATCTACTTTCAACGATTTTCTCCTTTTTATTAAATTTCAACGGGGGGAATTCTAAGTTACCTTTTTTAACAAGGTTTGAAAATCCGGGAAAAAATTTTTCAAAGACTCATGCCGTGGCGTTTTACAAGATTTTTTGCCCCTGTTTTTAAAGGTTTTTTAGAAAACATTCAGAGAAACTGTTTTGTTATTTTAATTTTAAAGGGAAAAATTTAAATTAAATACTAGAACCAATTTCCAAGATATGGGGGCTGGGCAGCACCGCCTGACATAAAATTGAAATATTCTCAGTGACAGTGTTGCACAGATAGTGTCATGAACTTTATAGTTTTATGCTAAAGATAACATTCATATTCATTTCAAGTATGTCGTGAGAAAACGTGAAGTCGTAGATACAAAGACATTTTAAACTTTGTAGACTATACACTTCCATATTGCCTTAAATTTTCATCATTTTCAATATAAATTTCAAAAATCGATATCACATGTTCCTTAGCATACCTGGTAAAAAGTTGATTTTAAACTACCTACATGAAAGATGCCAACTTTTTCTCTACATTTTTAAACGTGGCGCGGAAAAAAACTTTGAAAAACCGGGAAAGGAAATTTGCTTGTTTCCGATCATGCGATTCAAATATAATTGACGTCACTTTCACGAAAATTTTCTTTGAAAATAAAAAAAAGTGTCCGAATAAACACGATATCCGGGTTTAGACTCATCCGCTCTAGTTTCATGAGACTTTCGTGAAAATCTTTTTCATTATTTGCCAAATTTCCAGACAATAGTGTTAAAGTTTGCAAAGAGGGACATACTAAAATATTTATTTCGGCTTCATTTTCCCTGTCACCATGGAAATAAAGTTTCTGTATAGATGTGAAATTTGTGGGAGAGAATGAATCGATAATTTCACGTAAATGGCTTGTATTAGCGATGGTGTTTATATTAAGTGATTTTTCTGTTGATAAAGTGCATGCCTGATAAACCTAGCTTTATCAGTCACCCCAAGCTTTTTTAGACACCTCATCAATACACATTTTGACCTTGACGAAACTACTTTTTTCGGGTCATTTCCGGTCTACTGTTTACATTGGATACTACAAATACTACATATTTTGATACGATAAAAATAAAACATTTTAAAAACACAAGACAAATTGTTACTGTTTTATTTTTATTTTGTTGTATTGCTTCACACTTTTTAATAAATTATCAGTCCGCAATCCATCCACTGGACCATCAGCTACAGTTACACGGTCATATTCTCCATCGCTTTTACAGATCAAACTGGCACTGTTACAAATAAGTCATTAGAGTCCATTTCCATATCTCATTCTGCAGTTTCAACGGAGTCACATGGCCAAATGAATCCTGGCCAAATCAGTTACCCCACCCACTCATCACAGCAGATTGCTTTATCCAGCAACAGCTTAAATTCCATATTTTATGGCGCAGTATTGCATGTCAACAACCTGAATGTTTATTCAAGTCGGTAAATTCACTTTAAAAAATATAAACACTTGACGATGAACTGGCAAACTTAAAATTTCCATTTTCCGTGAAATCAGCTGTTCAACACTGTTCAACGACATTTTCAAATCTTGTTTACTTTGTGTTTTCTCATATCCTGTTCATTAATGTAACACTGATATGTCTCATGAAACGCTTGATATTGAATAAAAACACGTAATCTTATTTTGTGAATTGATAAATCCATTTAACCCAGACATTTTATCCAATTTTCATCTATCGATTACGCTCGTTCAACGTTCGTAGTCCATACGTCGGTAAATTTAAGATGGCGGCATGAAACCAAAAATATGCGAAATTTGCGAAATGAAATAAAAAGAATGGAATATTTTTTTCTGCTACTGGGTTGGAAATATTTAACTGATAAACTTTGAATCGAATAGAAATTTTGAATATGAACGCGTCACTTACAATTAACTAAAACATTCGGGACTATTTCTTTTTGATTTGACATTTCACATATTATTGCGCGCCGTCTGAACACCAGAGGTTCTGGATAGGGTTTTGCTTCAATTAAAATAAAAAAACAATTGAAATTGACAACATGATAAATAGAATACCAAACAAGTGTCTGATATTATAAAATTTATCAGACTCGGCACGAAAAATAATGAAGAGCTCGGCAGAGCCTCGCCCTTCATTTTTTTTCTTAGCCTTGCCTGATAAATTTTATAATATCAGACACTAGCATGGTATTCTCTATTTATTCATCGATGATAAACGTTGCAGATGTTCATTATGCTCATTTTCACCGGAAATGAAGATATCTTGTAAACACAGCTGAATGTTAACACTTTTTGGCATTTCATTTAAACATGATATTAACATGTTGAGTCAGTTCTGTATTCTATGGAATGGGTCGGTGTTTTCGTAACCTGTCCTTTTTCTAGATTCGTGATTTTTTTCATCTTCGTTTACGACAGACATAAAACTTTTTGATATTTTACACATCATTGAAGCATTCATTGCACCGATAAACAGGTACACTGTTGACATACTAAGAATGCTTTGAACATCTTTACATTTTACTACAACTGTTTTCCGAGAGTCACTTTGCGAACTTATAAATATAGCAGCAAAATAGTCCTGGACTGTTTTATGGGAAAACGATATTTTAGAAATTTGTTTTGTTAATGTTGTTGCGGTACTTCCTGTTTATAAACATAGTCTAGATCTTTCTCCAGATGCTTTAAAGTAACTGATGTCTCAAAGACAATCGTACTTTCTTTAGTTTCATTAATTAATGTATAATAGGCAATTGCTGCTAATTTCATAACAAGTGTGGAATATTTCTTACACTTTTCATATTTTGTGATGCAATCTGGAAGATCAACTTGAGAACAGTAACAAGTTGGATCTAGACCTGGATTCTTTTTTAATGCCCTTGAAAGAAGAAGTTCTATGATCAAAGAATAAATGTCTGATCTTGGTGATTCTAATTGCTCATCCTCACACCATAAACAGATGGGATACATTAAGAGCAAGGGAATTTTTTCTAAGTCATATAAGTTATTTTCGTAAATTGTTTCTCTGCAAACAAGCTTTCAAAATGTATATTTCCGTTGCCATACCAGAACTGTTATAGTGTACAAACCTATCTTAAATAAAACAATAAGTTTTTTTTTGTTTTGTTCCTTTCCACAGGGACGAAAAAATTTCGAGCGAATCATACGCGAAAATTTGATCCAGGTTACTTCCCTTTATTTTAAAAACACCATTTGTACAGTAATATCGAGCAAATTATTATAATTAATTATTTCAACAGAAAAGGAGATTCACGCATACAAATACTGTAAGAAGAGGAAATTTATTCAGAATTTTATCGGGAAATTGATTTTTTAGGATATTTGTTCATTCCGTTTAGTATATGCAGTTATTTTTCTAGAAATTCCAGATACTCATAAATTATGGCTAATCTGCTAAAGCGTCCGAGGCGACCACAGGAGCTCAAGACATTCTGTCAATAATTGAAAGATACAAGCAAATAACTAAGAGGTTACGGCAAATGAAGTGGCTAGCCGTAAAGTGTTATAACATGCATTCTTTAAAAGCATTCTTTCACCTATAATAGTAAACAAATCATCTAGCCCCTAATAAAACGGTATGTCTTAATACCGGATATGAGTCATATCCGCGGATATGATTTTTAATACCGGATATGATTTATATTTTACAAAGTATTTATTTTTTATTATTTTTTCTTGATACGATGTTTTATAATAATGATTTTACATGCAAAATATTGTTAAATTTGGTCCATAAATAAAAAAAGTTATAAGTTATATTCGAATTACGTTCATTTGGACAGAAGATACCGAATATGACTTATATTTTATAAATTGATTATTTTTTATTAACTTTTCCTGATACCGTGTTTCATTATAATAATGGCTGAGTGGGATATGAGTTCTAACTACAGTTGAGTTCACACTAAACTTCCCACCCTTGTGTACTTCTAGTGCACTAGAGCTGTACTAGAAGTGCACACCGTGTGCACTTCTAGTGCACTAGACCATATGACCAGGCTGGGCAGGGACACTTAAATTGTTTATTGGATAACTGCATAACCAGTGACAGGGGGCATCGATTGTTAAGCTGCTGTAAGATAAAAAAAAAACTTGGGGAATGCATGGCCTATTCATGAATATAAATAAGTAGATTTTAAAATCAGCAGTTTTAACATTTTAGGTGATATCATGTGGAAGCTTAAAATTAAAATATTTTTTTTTTGTAATCATATTTTTATTAACCAGTATTTAACTGTTAGTGTAAAATAATACCCTTTAAAATCAAATTTATAGAATTAATAAGGTTGAATTTAGATATGCTCTGTAATGGATAATTAAATCAGTGTTTTTAAGCTATTTTAACGCTATTTTTAATGGCCATGTATTTCATTTTTTCTAGTGTACAAACGGGAAATCAATGTTATAATTCTTGCAAAATTAATTTAGTTTGTAACAACATATTTTTTTCATCAGCTCAAACAAATCAAGGAAAGGTTTATATTTAAGCTAAAATATTATTTCTATGATATTATACTATGATAATTTAGTATTCAACTGTGTAATGCTTGCATATGTTTTAAAGATAAAAATAATTAAATATTATGCAAAATAAATAAATTTGATAACTTTATTCATTATTTCAATATTAGAGATTTAATGAATAAAGGTAATACTGAAGAGAAATTATTGAAGAGAAAAATCTCAAGTCATGCTGTGTATTAATTGGTATTACCTGGGACTGTTTTCATTATACCATTCTCCTGCTGATAAGAGGGCCTCAGGGTAAATGACAAAGAACAGTCATTTTGCAGATTTTAAGGATGCATTGAAAGTTAAACATAAGCCTGGGATTCATCAGGCCTTGGAACCTGATTTAGTTAGTCATATAGATAAATGACCATAATATTTGTATAATCAAATATACAAAAAAAATCATAATGGCATATTAATGCATATTAGATATCATTGTCTCAAAAGCGGAATTTTCTATGTTTATCCATTTATCCACATTTCTTGCCATTCTGCGTGATAATATATAACTTAAGAGGCAATTCCTCATGTTAAAGATTGAAAGAGAATATTAATTCATTTATTTTAAAACAATCCGTATACGCTGTGATATTATGTTTTTCAACCATGAAATGCTTGCATACTTTTTAAAGATATAAATAATTAAAAAATTCCATGAAATGAATAAAATTGAAAACTTTATTCAAGATTTCTATATTGAAAATTAAATGTATAAAGGGAATGCTTTTATGAAAGAGGAAAGGTCATGCTGTGTATTGGAATTTTTCTGAGAGCGGCTGTTTTCATTACACTGGTTTCCTGGCCTCAGGGTAAAAAACAAAAATGCAGATTTATGCAATATTTATTTAAAATTTCCTGTTTTCTTTTCCAAAATACATGTAAGACATAGATACATGACTATATTTTTTGTATAATCAAATGTAAAAAATAATCAAAATGGCATAAACGCAACTTAGATATTATTGTCATTTTTGTCTTTGAATTGTCTAATCTTATCATAAAAAACTGGTTTAAAATCAATATCAGTGTTAAATATTCTAGAAAGACCTCATATCAATATTTATCCACATTTTTTGCAATTCTGCATTAAAATTTGCAGCATCTTTTAGTTTCTGAACTGGGAAATGTTATTTGTTTCTGTTATAGATTTGAAAAATTTGCCATGTCAGTTTTACACATTTAGAATTCATGGCCACTATACTTGTACTAGTCCTAGCGTCATATACCTTATCACCTGCAAATTTGCCAATTACAGTACGTCGGACAAACCAGCAATAGTTTTAGAGAACGTTTCCATGGCCATAAGGCAGACATTCGCGCTAGAAGAAACGATGTGAAGCCTATTTCCCGCCACTTTGGTGTCTATTATGACGTCAAAAATATAAACGTCAATATCATTACACAAACTGAAAGAAATACAAATACTCGTCTCAGAACGGAAGAATTATGGATTCGAAAATTAAGGACAAAAATGCCAGAGGGAATGAATCTAATTTAAAAACTTTCTTCATAGCAAAAAAATTAAACGAGTTCACAGCCAAAGAATTAACTAAATATAACTTCATTGAAAAACCGGAAATTTGCGTTCCGTGCTCTAAGATGTTTGATAACAAAAGGAGACACAAATACCATATGCAATCTACACACAGCAACTTAGTTACGAGGTACATTTGTGAATGGTGTAAAAAGACGTACGCCACTAAAAATTCAGTAAAGAGAAATTCTCGTACCATACACTTCCTTAAAGAAGAAAAATATGCAACTATCAACGTTACCCGAGCCACCTCAAAACCTACAACGCCACAAAAAGTTAAAACAATATGTAATAAAATAAGATTCAGGATCGTACAAAACAACTCAGGACAACTCCAACTACGAAAAATTCTAAGAAACAGACAAATATGGATGACAGCGAAACAATCAAACATTGATGACATTACTACAAACATTCCAGTGCCTATTTCACCCCTACCATCAACACTAGTAAACACACGTTCACCAGATGCAGTAGCCAGTACATCTTCAACATCTACAGTATGCCTGGATGAAACATTAATGTTTAGCGACACTAATGAACAAATTATTTGCGTATCATCCATCTATGGAACATTCCAAAAATAAGAGAACACATAAGTCAGAAAAAACTTTGGTATCTTTATTAATTTGATTATTATATACTATATATACACAATTAACAACATTCTGGCACTTAGCCAACTCTCATTCTATTTTTAGAAATTTTGATACTATTTTTGGTAAGTCATGTGACTTATTTTACTAAATTTTACAATCGTTACTTTGATTTAATTTCCAAATTCAATAGTGATTTAAAAACTCTTCTGCGACAAGGGATTAGCCAGCCTGGTTTTTATGGCGATGTGATTTACAAACTTCGTAAGATTTTGGGTCATGGTAATTTTTCTGCTGTTTTTACTAAAATCATTAAACGTTTTATTAAAAGAGGTTATGACCCTACTATTTTAAGACATACTGCATGTTTAGTGTTCAACCCTTTTACAGTTGGGCACTACGCTTTCCTCTTTTGATTGCATCTGACGGACCAAGTGGGAGACTCTATGAGGGATAGTTCGTAAAGCCCTTTGGGACTGAATTGTCTTAATGTTCGTCTTCTGCCTTGCTTCGTCGGGCCCTTGTAGGTGATTTTCTTGTTGCTCTGTCTTCCTTTAGGACATTGAGTACTTTTGTTATGGTCATTGGGTTTACTTTTATATGTTTCTACATGATCATTTTAGTGTTTTACTTATATAACCTTTTGTAACCATGACAACTGTTAGAATTTCACTTGGCGGGGATTCATTTTATTTACACTGTCTCGTTTATAGGAACATGGTGGGGCTAAGAGCGAGGTTTGGTGCACCATTAACCGGTTTAAACTCCCTAGCAGTCATTATTATGCTGCTGACCGTTCCAAGGCGGCGCCCCACTGTGTTCCTCAGATGTATGTCTATGTTGTTTCATACTGTTTTGGTGACACTTTTGCTTGTGTCCCTTGTTGATTTCTCGTCTACGGTAAGTTTCTTCCCCATTGCCTCTAGTTTTTATTTCTTTGATTACTTCCCCCCCCCCTTCCCCCCGGTCTCCTGTCCCCTTCCCCTTTGTGGGCCTATTTTTATTTTCTTTGAATTCCTAATCAGTTACAAATTAATTATCATTTAATGATTAACCTGTCCGTGCTCTGTCTTTGCCCTGTCCTGTTTTTGTTTGGGGTCCCCCTGGGCTCCTTGCCATTGGTTCTTGTTGCTGGGTCATGTGGGGGTTGCGTTCATTGAACGCCGCCTTTCCTTGTTGATCTTGTTTATCATATTTTACCATGCTATACATTTTCAATACTTCAGACCCAAAATTCTGTTAATTTCTTATCCTGATGAAGACCTCACGGTAGGTCGAAACCGGTAGATAATTAAATAATATAAACATGCCTGGTGTTGACGTGTAATGTTCTTCCTATTTTACCTTATCTTGACATTTAGAAGGAGTGTAGGACAAAAGCGCCCCGCCCCCTTGGACGAAAGCCCCCCGTCTAAAAATGATAAGGTGGACAAAAGCCACCCCCATGAAATTAACACATAGGACAAAAGTCACCCAATAAAAAGTTAAGGTAGGACAAAGCCCCCCCCCCCCCCCATGGTCCATCAAATTTTACATATAGTGTAAATATAGGCCTTTGTCCTACCTTTACTTTTTTATGGGCGGGCTTTTGTCCTATGTGTAAATTTCATGGGGTGGCTTTTGT